TATCATTGGGTTGGCATAAAGATAAAAGTTAAATTTTCTAAAAGGATGTAAATTTATATATATAGATCTTATATTAGGAACAGTATACTAAGTACATAAAGTATAGTTTACATGTGAATGAAATAATGTATATAATTTTTGACATATAATTAGGTGATTCATTATTGTGACTTTTGGTAACATTCTAAACTTTACTTTAAAAAGTATTTATTACTCTGTATGCTAAATATTGTAATAAGTTAGTATGCATAACTTATTTATTATTTGATATTTAATATTTGTTTTTTTGTATATATGCGCATTTATTATCTGATTTTATTTAATATATAAAAAAAAAGGCTTATGAATAAGCATGCATATTTGTAAAATTGAATATATGTTAGTAAATAATATTAATAATATAATTTTTAAGCATAAAATTAGTAAGTCAATATGATTTTTAACTCTTAGATGATAAATATTTAATATTTTATATTTTTTTAAAAAATTTTTTTAATAGGCTAATAAGATAATATTCAATACTTAATTAAATAAATTTATTGATCATTATATACAATACAATAAATTTATTAACCATTATATACAATATAATGTATTTAGTTTCCATTGTAAATACTTATTTTTTTTATTGAGCTTTTGTGATATATTTAGTTCATAACTTGCTTTTTTTTTTGTTTTATTATGTTTTTATTTAAATTACTTATTTGGAGTTATTTGTATTGCTGTTGTTAAAGGCAAAACAGATACAAGAGTTGCTTTAACCTAGTGCTGCACTGAACCATGCCCCCTTATAGTAAAAACATCTCTGAAACAAGAAAACAATTGTGCATCAATTGTACCTTGAGAAACTTGAAAGCCAAGCTGCCTATCTGAAACAATGCACTGGATAACAGTCTTATAAGACTGTTATCCAGTTGCATTATAATGTTATCTAGTTAGCCATTCGAGTGACGAATGATTCGCACTTGCGTCGTCAGAGATATATTAGTATTCGCTCCATCATTTGAGTAATGACGAATTTGAGTTCACGTCATCATTCGAGTGACGAACGATTTGCACTTGCATTGTCAGAGATATATTAGTATTTGCTCCATCATTCGAGTGATGAATGATTCACGTTTGTGTCATTATTCGAGTGACGAACAATTCACACTTGTGTCGTCAGAGATATATTAGTATTTACTTCATTATTCGAGTGACGAATGATTCATGTTTGCATCATTATTTGAGTGATGATGAATTTGAGTTCATGTCATATCGGTAATAATTTTACTTTTGGCAAACACCAAAGCATCTGATGATGAGGCACATAGTACTGAATTGTTACCCTTACTTGATGATATGTAAAAGCAAAAATTTATCTTATCTCTTTCCTTATAATATTCTGCCTTTGCGTATCACTTTTTTTATATCTGAATTCTACTATCTGATCCTTCTTTTTTAGTGATACGTAAAAGCACAATTTTTTCTCATCTCTTTCCTTATAATATTCTGCCTTTGCATATCACCAAAAGTTTACTATATTTTTCAGTTTTGGAAGCCCTTCTCACATAGTTGATAGTCTTTGAATATTGCCACTTTACATTAGTGAAGTTAGTATAAGATACTAAAAAAAATCAAGTCATACTTTTATATATTCTTTTGCATATCACTTTTTCACTAACTTTTGCATATCACTTTTTGCTAACCTTTGCGTATCACTTTTTTGCTAACCTTTGCGTATTACTTTTTTGATATCCACCTAATGGTACATAAAAGCTCAATTTTTTTCTTACCTTTATATATCATCTTTTTTGATACATATAAGTTCAATTTTTCTTACCTTTGCATATCACTTTTTCGATATCTGTTTAATAGTACTATGCGTCTTGGTGTGAACCAGCTTCTAGCTGACACTAGCTCCGAGTAATGACTACTCTTCGCAATCCAAAAACCCACTTTGATAAGTGTCTGGTCATCTAAATCCTATTATCCAAAATCGCATGACACAAAAACCCTTTATATGATCTAGATATTGAAAGCATTAATTTTTTATTTGAATTTTTTGGGTATAATTAACTAAAATATTTAAGTTAAATTCTAATATTATAAAAATGCAAAATTATAATGAGATTGATACTAAAGCCCTTACCTATGCCAAAAGACATGAAGGACAATGCTTGGCTAAAGTTAGATCAAACCCTAATATTTATTTATGGGTTTGTAAAAATCTGCATCGATGGGAAGCATCCTATAAAGATATGAAACAAAATTATAGGTGGTGCAATAGTTGTCCCAATGTACCAGAAAGAACATGCTGATATATATTTGAGGATTTATTAAATAAAAAATTCTCATTCAGAAAACCTAAATTCTTGAAGGGATTACATCTAGATGGATACAATGAAGAGCTAGGCTTGGCTTTCGAATATAGTAGTAATCAACATTATCAAATCATCTCTTTTTTTCATCTGCAAGGGCAGATGAATCTAGATGCACAAATTTGGCATGATTGTGAAAAAAGAGCATTATGTTATAGAGAAGGAGTAATCCTTATTACAATACCCTATTGCATCATTGACTTAGAAACTTTTATAAAAAGCACCTTATATGCATTTGGTTATCTTCCAGTACCCACCTAGAAGGTAACATAAGCTCTTCCTTAATATGCATTAATTGTTCCCTTACAAAGGGACGTCAAGGTTCTGGCTTATCCAAGTAATATAAAACAGGCATAGGAGGATTCTTTCCAACAACAATTCTCCAGATTTTATGCAGGCTAGGAGACCATATTGGATCTGTTATTCTATGTTGTTCGAAAGGATCATTTTCCCATTCTCCATGAGCAAGCAAAAATCAGATAGTAGTACCCTTTGATAGTCATGGTTCGTCAACACCTATCAGGCGATTATATTTTATCGATGGTTTGGAATATACCCACTCAAGTTATGTGGCCTCATTGGGACTCATTCCAATTAACCAAGTAGTAGTATCATTCATGTTATCAACAATTCTTCTTGCAAATCATTCACATCTCTACAGCATTCGCCGGTAGGTAAGAGAAACTCTATTGCATACTGGTTTTTAAAAACCCTTAATTTGAATAATCTGGCATAATGATCAACCATAGCCAAGCTTGTATGCCTGAAATGTGCTTTAATTCTTCAGATGTTAACATTGTGTTCATCCATTATCAATGTCACGCTTCCCATGAACTCACGACCTTCGTCACATTGCAATAGCCAAGCCCAGTTAAGAGGATTGTCAGGTTTATCATATATACTCTTAAATGCTTTTATGACTTCTTCACTACTTTATGATGTTAAAAAAACAAAATCTTTATATCTAGTCATGCAGTCTATAACCAATAGTACATAGTAAAATATTGGGCCATTATCCAACAAACCCATATCCACATCTTCATCATATAGTATTTCAATTAAATCGCACTAGTGTACAGAATTCAGTTTTGTAATTTTAGAGTAACTAGCATAAGGTATATTCTTCGGTAGAGGACGAAAAATTTGATACATTGCTTGGCCATCAAGCCATTTTTTTATATCATTAAATAGAAAGTTGTAGCCAGCTTTCTTACAAGCATCCCGCAATCCCTTAACATTTTGATAGAGACCCTCGGGCTGATAATACAGCTTCTGCAAGACAAGATGTCAGTCAAGATCACATGCTTTTTGGGAATCAATAAGAATTGTAGGTTTTTGTAATATCAAATTTTGATCTTTAACTTTTTTATTTTTAGCAATTTCTTGATCGAGTTTATAGGCTTTTTGTAGATTAATATAAATCAAAGGTTTTTCCATTATACTATAGTAATAAAAAACATGGAGGAGTTATTGCAAAGCAATGAAACTATGTCTCTACAACAAACTAACCAGGAACTCTATAAGGTGGTATCACAATTAGCTGAATCAAATAGAAATTTCAAACAACGGCTATATACCTTAGAAAAAGTTATAGGTATACGTGAAGAAAGAATACGATATCTTGAAGAAGAGTTAAATAACGCTATCAAGCTTTCTAGACAAGACAAAGAAGAATTATTAGAAGAAATCTCAAAACTCAAAAGAATCGTTCACCAACTTGAGGAAGAAAATAAAAAAAAAGATAAGGAGATTTCTAATAAGGATAAGTTAATATCAAAATTCAATGAATGAGAGACAAAATTAAAAACTAGAATTCGTGAAATATCAAAATCAGCTGACAATACCCCTAAAGCACAAGATTATACAACAAGATTAGTAGATAAAAATAAGTGACTTAAACGAGAAATAAATACAATAAGGACTAACCAAATAAATAGAATTAACAAAATAACTCAGCAAAAAAATCATATTACTGACCTTCTTTGTCAGAATTTTGCTTTAGTATTATTAAAATATCAAGATAGATTAGAACTTACAAATACATGAGAAGCTTTACAAAATGCACAGGCATGAATTTTTAATGAAAATGAATCTGATTCTGATTCTGATGAAAATTCTTCAGACTTATATAATTTTGATAATAATATGGGAACAATAGCTGAATTGGCCAATGCTATAGACCGATTCCTAAATGATACAGCAATATGTAGAACTGTTTTAACAAATCAAATTAAAAGATCAACAAGATCAATCCGACGTAAATACACTAACTTACAACAAGATTTGGTAAACATATGATGGGACCAAGATACGTACAGGCAGAAGCGAGATTAGGCATTGCTTGATCTTTAGCAGTTGCGAACTAATGCACAAAACCAGGTAAATAGAATGATAGATAATATAGCAAGAAAACAAATCTGTATTAATGAATTGCTATATAAAAATTTTGCTTTCCAGTTATTGTATCAGCGAAATGCTTACTACCTACAACAATGCAGAGCTGATAAGAGATTATTAGAATATAATAGAGACAGACTCTATGAGTAATATACGAAATGAAAAAATAAGACCCATGCAGAGCGCCAGAATATTTTAAATTTAAATCAACAAATTTTTGCACTACAGAATAATCCATACAATATGGCAAAAGCAAGACGTTTACCTATATTGAAATATATATCTACCTTGTTAAATCCAATTCCACAATATATGGGTCAAATGCCATCTAGTGATTATTGTGATATGATTATACAGGCATGGGCATCTGCTATACCAAATATGATGGCTCTTGAAAATGCAAATGTTGGAGATTTTGATGATGCTGTCAAAGTCAAAATTATAAAAAGTAAAATGGCAGGAAAATATGCACCAGTACTACCTCAAAATAATTTTGTAAATCCAGCAGTTAATATTGATAGTCCAGATATTTTAAGAGCATGGTTAAATGCAAAATATCAACGAGAAACAGTTGGAACTAGCCAATCAGCTATTTTAAGATTATCTCAAGAAAGATTTCAACCTTTTGATAATCCCAATACCTATGAAACCCGAATTCGTCCACTATTATTAGGTGTAGCAGATGATGATGCACGAGTATTAGGAACTCTTAAAACTTATTTATCAGGTGATCGAGAACTTTATAGTTGGATGAGAAATGAAAATATAGCAGATATTAATGAATTTTTTATTTTATTAAAAAATCTATGGCTTGAATGTTCTAGTTTATATGTAGATCAAAACTCTGATCAAGTACAACCAAAGAAAAAATCATTAGCAAAGCAGAATGACAGTATTATATCACAATCTATAGTTTTACAACCAGTATTTTCCTCATATGATGAAATGCAAAAATTGTTTCAAGCTATGTTAGAAAAACAGAAGACTGAATCCAAGGCCGAGATTGAAAAATTGAAAACTGAATTCGAATCAAAAATGAGTCAGCAATCCAAAAAATCTTGCTCTCCAGTTCTACCCAAAGATCATGAACAAATACATGAATTTTATACAGATCAGAGAGATCCTAAATGGTCAAATCTTTCTAGAGAGGAAGCACTACAATGGTTAGATAAAGCTTTTTCTCCACTCATAGCAAGTAAACCAGAACGATTATGTTCATCAAATCAAAATGCCAGAATAGATAGAATAGAGTCGAAAGTAGATGAAATCAGTCAAATGACATCTCAATTCGGAAGGATAATGCTTGATAACAAAAAACCCATAGCTAAATCAAATTCAACATATCGATATTTTCCTCCTCTAATACCTTCCCAATTCCAATATGCATCTCCTGATTCAGATGATAATGAGGATGAAAAAGGTGGATATAATGAGGAAGAGAATAAATAGCATGCTCCATCTCAGTCAGAAAAAAAAAACAGGTATCGGTAAATGAAAAAATGCTTCTAAAACTTAGTCAGCCTGAAACATACGATGAACTATTACCAAAGCTTTTACAGGCAATGTGTAAAATATGTCAGTCTCATATAGTCCAGGAAAAAGAATCAAAATCAGATGAATAGTTTTCGTCATTGCAATACTTGCATTGTAATATAAATGATCTATTGATCACTAATTCCTTTTTAGATAGCACAAGTGAATTTGAAAGAGTAAATGATGCAACAATTAATGCCCTGAGGTGGAAAGCTGATAAGCCTTCTGACTTTGCTATAAAGGGTAATTCCAAACATATATTCGAATCATTAGAATGGTATACAGATGTGCCGATTAGTGTAAAGGACAAAGATGATAAGATTGTTACAGCTACTGGAAATTTTGCTTATATTAATAATAGTGAACCTGAACCAATGTTATGTTTAGGTATGACATGGATTCGAAAAGTTCAAGGTATTCTTGATCCAAATAAAAATCAATTTCGAATAAAGTTACATGGGAAGACTTACACTATCCCAACTTTTAGCAAGGCTACAGAGGTTAATGAACCAGAGCAACAAGTTTCAGATATGTATGATGGTGAGAATTTAAAAAAAAATATGACTTACTTGAAAAGCGACTCATAAAAACTGAAAAGTGGCTTGATATGGCTCTAAATACAGGTAAAGTTCTTGCAGAAAGATGCTCTCAGCTTACTGAGGCAAAGACAGCATATAGAAGCTAATCTTTCAGTATCTTTCATTAATTTTTCAAGATCTGCTTTTCTTCTAGATGTATCGGACAAAGTTTGTGCACTCTCTGTATTATCTATACTAAACTTCTTTTTTCGGCTAATCTTTTTTGGCAATATGTTTGGAGGAACTGATGATATGTCTATATTATGAGATATCACTACATCTGTACTAGACAAAGTATCCAAATTTTGTTCTTTTTGAGGTATAGGATGATAAGTGTTTTGTAAGGTTTGATTAAAAATTATAGAAGTTGTAGCCCCATTTTGTTGCAGACGTTCACAATTGTTTCATATATCCTTAACATGGTTTTCATTAATATAGAAATCTCTTATTACTGTATATATAGGAACCTTGTCTTTAAGCTTCCTAATTGCTTTAATTTGTTTGGGTGTTAAAAATGTAGCCTTTTTGTGATAATAGATTTTTAGATACGGAGTAGTCATGGATTAAAGATTTTAGATTAATGTTTTTTATTTTTGAATGATAAAATATGATAAAAAATATTCAAGATTGAAAATATTATTTTAGATGAATAAAAATACTAAGAAAAAATGTTACTCTGCATCTTCAGTTATATATAAAATCTTATGAGACTTCTATTAATATTTGCTAATGATATATAATGTTAAATATTGTTTAATAATATTTGTATTCATTTTTTATTCATTAATAAGGAAGTTCAAAATTGATAATAATCTGATAATTCAAATTATATGTCTCGAATTCATACATTGTCAGATATAAGCGAAGGTAATAAACTTGGAGACTTACTATCCAATCGATATCCACCCAGCCGAACGAAACTTGAAAACCTGCTTAATCAAGCAAATCATGATCATGAAATTGCTATAGAATGTGGCAATCGACTTGCTTATAAATGCTCTATCTTGGATAAAAACAATAAGCATATGCAACAGGATCTAAATCGATCCAATAAAGATAAAGAGAAACTCACTAAGCATACCTATCAGCTTATAGATGAAGTAAAACAATTGCATTCAGAGTTAGATACTCTAACATTCCAGATTACTCGCAAAGATATTTATCTTAAAGAATCTAAGATTAAGATAAAAGATCTCCTGTCTAAGATAAAAATATTGGAAATAAAACTATCTTCAACTCAGAATAAATCAAAGGAAATTACAGCACTTCGGTCTATAAAAAAAATACTAGAAAATAAGTTAGAATCAGCTCAAAAGGATGCATTCTCAACTCAGGAAGAGATAGTAAAAAAAGAATCTGAGATCATATTTCTCAAGTCTAAATTAATCAATATAAAGAATGAACTAATGAATACAAAGGATAAATTAGCTTTAAAAATTAATGAAATTGAGTGTTTAGGCACTTTACGTTCTGCTTTGCAGAAAACAAAAGATATATTGGATCCTGTAATTAGGGGAGGTACAGAAAAAAATATGCAGAGTAAGGAACAAAGTTTCATATCAAATTCTGGAGACACATCAGAAAAATCAGAGATTTGAGGCTATGCCTCATCTAAAAGTCTTGCAAAATATTTTAAAAGTAAAAATGAGCTAGTAATAAAAGAAAATAAAACATTACCAATTATCACAAATAAGCAGAATCCAGAGTCATTGATTTAAGATATTACAATAGAAGGGGCAGTATGTGCTGGCAAGGCTTTAGTTAATGATAAGTATCAAATTCCTCCTATTATTAAAATTGTCATTATTACAATAATAGTGATATTAATTATTTGGTATATATACAGTAATATTTTTCATCAAACCTCGCCTTCTCGTTTTTTGAACTCGAAGCCAGATTATACTCATTATATAACTGCCTCTGGCAATTTGTTTTCTGAAATATATAAACCAACTATGAACGAACAAAGTGAAGTGAATTATCAGGGAAAAGAAATTTTTTATTTAATTTATAAAAATCATAGTTATGGATTCCCAATCTATTATACAAAAAAACAGAAAGAAAGAACTTCTACCTATGAAACTATTTCTTATGGATATAGATGAAGCTAATAAACATGTTGCATCTTATTGTCAATCTCATCCAGCTAGTCCAACATGGCCCTTTAGAATGATAGTTACAGGAAAAAGTAGATCAGGTAAGACTAATATCTTAACAAATCTTTTTCTCAGTGATAAAGCTGAATACATATATAAAGAAAAAAAAGGTGGTAGGAGATATATTTCTTGTGATGATTTAATAGTTTGTGGTTATCATCCTGATGAGCCAAAATGGGCATTTGTTAGATATATGTATGGCATAATTTCAAAAGACCCAAAAGCACCTTATTATGAAAATATACGATTTAGCTATATATCACCAGAAAAAATCCCTAGTATAAAAGCATTTTCACCTGAACGAAGTATAGCAATTGTTTTTGAAGATTTGTGTCTCACTTCAGAACATATACAGAATCGAATTGGCCAATTTTTTGGAAATAGGTGACATCGAAATATTTCATGTATATTTGTGACACAGAAATATCATAAAATCACTACATTCATGTATGAAAATGCTAATTACTTAGTACTTTTTAATTCTGGTAGCTCATATGAAGATGTCTCTAAAATTATTCGTCGATATACAGATGATATAAAAAATGCATCAATGGTTATTAACAGTTACTTACGCAAAGGTGAATTTATTGTGTTTGATTTAGATAGGCCAGAAGATGATCCACTACTCTATGGATTTGCAGAAAGAGATAGAGTTACATCAAAAGCACAAGATAAAAAATGCATTGCCAGCTGAGCCCATGAATTCTGAACCTGAAAAAGCTAAAAAATCAGCCATGTAAGTGCCCTGCTTCGCAGAAATGAAAAGTTTGTTAGCATTAATCTTGTTAAAGTATACACTTCATAGATTTTTATTTCACATCAACACTTTTTTACCTGAGTTGACATAAAGAGCCAAGATGATTTGTTTGTTCACAAACTTCCAAAGCACTTAATCGTATTATATACTCAGAGACATGAAAGTGGCTTGCTATGCAAGAAACTTATTGATAAAAAAATACCTAATTGTAATGAGTCAAAGACTCGTGGCTTTGCCACTCTCAAGAATAGCATTAGGAAAATGATGGACAACTACTCTATGCAAAAAAATGTTACTAGCTTTTCTTTAGGAAAGATAACAAAATAAAGTCTAAAGTACTAGCCCTTGGAAATACTTTAGGTTGTTTTATTTTAAATAGATATATATATAAATAAGTTATATAATTAATAAATCGAATAAATAGATTAAATTAAATAAATAAATATATGAATTGCTTTACAGACATGGTCTATACATTGTTAATTTGGCGCATTTACTCTCGAATTCCCTATAAGAGTTTATAATGTTGAGCAAGTTCTGTTGCACATATACCTTCGGGTCTGTAGAAATACTCTAGCCATTTTCTCTGTATAGTTCTACATGCTCAGATCTTTTTTGCTGTTTCTCGAATATGTTTAACTCTATTGATAAGATTCTCTATTCGTAATTCATATCGATAAATAGCTAATCTTGTGTAAATATCGCTTTCAACTTCTGGTTTTTGTTTAAGCTCCATATACTCTTTGAAACATATATCACAATGTCTATTTCCAGTACAATTTGTACGCCAATGTTCCTCTATCTTATAATTGTGATATAATTCATATCCTACTCTTTTATCAACATAAACAAACTGATCACAGCTATAACATATAGCAATATTCACTTTAACTGCCATACGATAACTGAATCCTTCTGTAGATTCTATCTTTTTGGCAATAAGATATCACTTATTGTAATCAGTTAATTTATTGTTATTTCTATAATTCACTAATTGATTCCAGATTCGGTTCTTCCAATTAGATAGTGTTTCTCTATCACGAATTACTAAAAATTGGCAGTTATCCCTTCACTCGATATCATTTAAAACTGGACAATTATCTGTATATATCATATTTAATGATTAAGTAATTTAACGTATTATTGTGTTTTTAGAGATTATCTGATTTATATCATATTTAGGGATTTAGACTTATTTGATTTAATAACTATATACTAATAAATATCGCAATTCATTTTTTGTGCGAATTGGGTTATTAGATAAGTTTTGTATATTTGCCATATTTGCGAGTGAAATATATGATGAACCTATTGCAGGTATATTAGGAGATATGACAATCTGAGATATTTTTTCTCATGTGAATAAAAATCATGTATGCGTGACAAATTGTTATGCTGATCACTTTTGCCAAAAATAATAATAACCAGCAATACAAAAGACAACTCAGCATACAATAATTAAAATATCGAGCATATAGAAGTACTTTCATTATTAGTATTATCCGTTATGCGTAGTTAGATTAATAATCAGTATTAACGCTATATGAAAAATGTAGTCATAAGAATATTAGTATTATCATTGCATGAAAAATGAAGTCATTAAGATAGAATCATATTGGTAATTAGTAATAGAGGCAGGTTAGCATAGTAAATAAAAGAGGGAATGAGAAATGTATCTCTCACCTTAGTCTGTTCAATAAACTATCCAATCTTGTCTTCTTGCTGCTGCTTCATACACTCCCTGATTCGTGCCTCAGTATTTTGAGAGTTGTTACGAAGGTTAGAATTCAACTTCCATTGGTTAGCCAGAGTTTGCTTCGAAAAATGAAAGAGTGGGCCCAAAAGATTTATAATTTATTTAATGAGATTGGGGTCAATAAGATCAAGTGAATTTAGAGCTTTACAGCAGTAACCTCATTATTAACTAACCCTTGAGCCATATGTTTAGAATTGTTTTTTGTAGTAATTAAACTATTCCTTGAGTGCTTTTTCAAAATAGTGAAGAATGGCTTTGTAAATCATTTCTTTACTAATTTCTTTAGCATGCATAGATATCGGAATTGTCCATCACAGAATTGTATATCTCAGACCTGGTGATCCAAAATGATGTATATGTGATAGCAAAGATATGAATCCCCAACTCAAAACATATATATATATAAGTGAAATCATGCCTTCATTTTATTCATATCGGAAGAAAAAGAAAAAATGATAGATATATGATATAGTAAAACTCTTCCACATATTTTATACTCAGTCTTTACTAATAATGTATTACTTAGGATTATGATCTTCTTGTGAATTTAGGAAACAAGGTCAAACAATTTAATATTGAGTTTCTTGTTATCTCTATCCATGGATTTTTCAGATTTCCAGCCAGCTATCTTAAGTATGGTCTTGTCATATTCGAAAAAGAATCTATCAATTATGTAAAAGCGAAAATTCAGTAGCACTTTCAGAAGAGTTTAAAAATGTTTCTTTTAATATTCAAGTATCCGATCCCAAAGCCAAAACATATAAAGACATGAAATTGCAAGATAAAGTTAGTGATTATTTTGATAAAAAGCCTGTAACGGGACATATTTATATTATAGTAGAATTCATTAGTTAGGTTTTTATATTTACAATATTATCAGCATGTATTAAAAACTTTGTACTATGTGGCTATGACCATTTAGACCCGATTGTTTTATTAATACAATAAAAAATACCAAGAAATTTTTGATATGTCTAGTAATAAAATTGATTGCATAATACAGATGTTTGATTAGGCATGTAAGTGCTATTACTTTGTAATACATATCACATGTCATACCAAAGAAGAAAATCAAAGAAGTCTATAAAATCAAGAGCAACAGAAGATTGGGTAATGATCCTTTGGATCGAGTCTTTGACTCTCCTGGTTCATACTAATTAATTCGTGAATGAATTGATCACCAAACCCGAAATTAGTTTTATACTTATCTGATTTTTATATATTATGCCATATGTTACAGAAAATTGGAGACTCGACCCTTTGGATCATTGTTTAATATGCGTATATTAATAAATTTTTAATGTAATTCTAACCACTTACCTCTCCCTTTCTATTTCTATTCCATATAAAATTTTTTATTTTGAATCACCTGGTCCGAGATGTAATAAAAATCATACTTCTTTAGGATGCTATACCATGATTATCTGATGATTAATTTGGTTGTGTCAGCTAATGATACTAATCACTGTTGAGTCACGGTTGAGTTGCAGTATTTTTTTTCTATATAATTCTATGAAAAACAGGTGTATCGTGGTTGAGTCATGTTAGAATCTTAGTGATGTGGACCAACGATCAATTGCATTTATTAATTGCTGAAAGAAGAAATAGAAATGCCAAGTATCACAATATTCCTGGAAGTAGTAGAGTGAGTTTTTGGAATAATATTGCAAATATAATTAATGAGAGATTTAGTACCAACTATACGGGATATCAATGCAAGAGTAAATTTCAAAATCTTGTAAGGGATCACACTGTAAGTATTTTTACTGAAGGCACTTATTGACAGATTGTACCATAATCAGGTTATAACCTAACGATTTTCTTGATCCTCTTTAGTTGATGTGCCAATATATGACAGGAAATCGTGCAGAGTGTAGAACCAGAACCGGAGTATGATTCTTTGAGGAATTCCATTCACGTTTTTGGGAAAGACTAGGTAAGGTTCTACATTAATCTTGAACATTCGTCTGCCTTTACTGTAGGTGTCTTTGAAATAGAAACAAATTATTAATTTGTTAATTATGTATAAAAAAAATCTAGAAACACAGTTTGATCAAATACATAACGTAAACGCATTCTCGAGAAGAAGAGAAGAAAGACGGCGAAACCATACTTCACCACCAACCTACGAAGAAGTTTCATCAATGATAAATATAAGTCACCGTAAATCTCCCACCAGTTAAAGGGATCGATTTGCATCCCCGAGCTGGAGAAATCCCACCAAAAGAGACGAAACTACTAATCGAGATAATGTAAGTAATGTAAATGATGCGAATGGGAATTCAGACTATAACACTAATGATATAGGTAGAAATTTAGATAATGTGACATACTTATCTTTACCTAATTTGGCAAATACTACTTCAACCCCTAATATATTTGCATCACAAAATGATAGTAATATTAGTATGCCCGATATAGGAGGTAGCCAACCTTCCTGTATGAAAATATAAATGAAGAGGATTAGCCTCATATTTGTTTTTAGAGGCCTCTAAGCCATTCACGTGAATATTCATCCAATATATGATTTTACATATAAAAATAAATCGTACTGTTATAGTATTAAGATATTGTATAAAAAATAAAGTTCGTAATACAAGTTACTTGAACAGTTTGTACCACATTTCTACAGAATTAATTCTCACAGTTGATTTTTAATAAATACAATATCTAGAAAGCCTTACTTTATATGATCCCGCAATAAGAATGGGACTTGCCTTAGAGGGGCGCTTCTTTGAAGCTAAAAAGGCTATAAGGGTAATACATATAATGTTCTTAATCAGTAGTTTTATCAAAATTCATATGTTACAGAGATTTGAAATTTCACAGATCGTTGAGATCGTTGACTTTTTTCACTTAGTAGTAATGATCGTTGAATCTAAGGGGGTTTAATTTATTTAAAAACATCAAAAAAAGATCAGTATTTAGAACTTATAACCGAACAGAATTGCTTTGTTAAGTGTGATTTGGCAGTGTTAGAGTAACGCAATTACTAATCATGTAACTTTTTTTGGCAGGTAGGTTTTTAGATCTAACGAATGAATAGTATAAAATAAGCAAGTTCCCACCCATAAGATAAGTTAGCAATAATGTTACTTTTTGCTCATATATATTTTACTTGGTTCACTTGCCTGTAATTTATTTTTAAAGTAATTTGCTATTTTTTTTAACAGAGACTGAACCCAAATTATTGCTTACTTTGTTTTTTGTATTTAGATACGAAAAATGAGCAGTAACAAAAAAACCACTACCTCCAAGACTAACAATACCCCCAAGACCAATGATAACACTACTTCCAAGACCAATGATAGTAATGCCCCCAAGACTAATGACTCCAATCCAGAAAGTGATCAAAAAAAGCTATCTGGTGTGGGCATAATTGTTAATTATCAAATTCTATCTAGTTATCTGAGTATCAATCCTATAACATTTTCAAAAGTAATAAAACCTCATAGTTACTATGGCTATTGATTTTTTATTTGTATTTGTATTATTTTATTTGTATGTTCCCATTCTGGCAAAAAAAAATTTTATTAAATAAAGAAGGAGGTCCTGTAGCCTTCCCATGTTTTATTTTTATATTATTTTTGCAATGCAATTTGCGATTATTAATTGGTGGAAATATTAGAGTTTTTTTATTAACTTATGCTTTTACAGTCACTATTTGGATTGAATTTTGATATTTATTCCTCCAACATGTAAGACGATATGTTTTTGTATTGACATAATCGCCACTCCTCCATAAACCCTCTATATTATATGATGAACTATGCATATAATCAATTTTATTGCACATGATGCTAAATTATTGTAAAAATTTATAAGGTTAATCAAGATTAAAGGTTTTTCTATCAATAAACTCTCTAAATTTATATATCTTCTTAGAAATAGTAATTTCTGGATTCTTATTATACTATACTTCAAGAAGATAAATCCCGTTAAGTTGACACAAGGTTCTTTTCTTTCGATCATGGTCAACAATATCCTCAAGTTTTTTAACATCTTTATACCAACTAGTGCTGTGAAACCAATGCTGTGCTTCTTGTACCTCCAATGCAATTCAATTAATTCAAAAGAAGGCATCAGGTTCTAATCCTCCTATAAACAATAGACGATATTCAACTATGGGTTCTTATTAAGAAGTATCTGAGTTATTAGAATGCATTTCTCCTGAAATTTATGATTTTTCTTAGACTTGAGTTCCTTTTTAAATTCATCTAAATCCTGTTTTAACTTTATATTCTCGATTTCAACTTCTTCTTTGTCATGCTTTAACTTCGTATTCTCAGTTTTGATTTTGATATTCTTATTTTTTAATTCATCTATTTTCTTTTCTAATTCAGGTACTAAATTGCAGAATAAATTGTGATAACTTGCTCTATCAATAATAAGAAAGCAAAGATAGAATTGTAATTTCTTTACCAATTCATTGATCTCTTTATCTTCGAATGATCTGGGTTCAAGAAGTCGTTTGAAAATCATTTCTTTAGGGAATGTTTTTATCTCATTCCAAAGATCTAAAGATCGCCCCGACACCAATTCCAATAAATCAATTGTGGGTTGCATATTTGTTATTGCTTTAATAAAACACGGTTGTATTCAAAAGTTTGTTTATTAGCATAAATAACAAAAGATACATGTTACTTAAACACTTGCCAGAGGTGGTGCCGAATTGTTTCACAATAGATTAGAATAAGTTCAGAATCAAACGAAATATATCTAATCAAGCTTGCCATTATTTCATCATCGATATCATTAATCAAATGAATGAGCATATTCTGCAAAGTAATAATAAGGTAGGGTTTGGTTTATTATTCAACTAGTTTCTTTAAATATGTCATCACGATGCTAATTGATTTTCCCTACTCTATAGATGTTCTAAATAAACGGACATATTACTCTTCATGCTATATATCGGCATTTTGATATTCACTAAGAAATTCTTTGACTATCATCATGCGTATAGTGGGTGTAGTGAATTAAAGTCTGGTGCATTATTATGGAAATATTGGCCCTATTCATAGCTGATTTGCAATTTAGGGGTGTAACTTCTTACGGCTAGACTATGGTCACAGGTATATGCAGATCTTTAAAAATAGAACTGTACTATGTGATCTATTTTCTGTCACATAAATAAAAGATAATACACTATTACACTTTCTATTGGCTGAAGCAATATGTGATTATTACATGTTACTTTCTTTTTAAAATGTGACAAAGATTTTTTTCATTAGTAAATAATATATTTTTTATCAAGATTCAAATTTAATGCTTGATGAACATTTTCCAAACTCTCTAATTGCTTGATATTATGGTGTTCATTCAAATGGTGATGTGGATATTAAAAGAAAAAAATAAAAATAAAATATTTATTCATTTGTTATTATCTTTATAACATATCTTATAATAACATTTTTAGGTATGGAAACGACTTAGATATTTTATGCCAACTTTGATATTATCAACTTTTTTGAATTTATTAATTTGACTCATGATTAAGATGCATATGCAACCCAGCATTCAAATCTTTGCTCATACACTTTTTTATCGAAATTGGGTTTAAGTTGATGGATATTTTAGAGAAAATAGACAATAAACTAATTGAAGTTAGGAATTTTATATAAAGATTATAAACAATAAGGTAGCTGTGTGACACAGTTATACTAGAAACCAGGAACAAAAGCAGATATGGTAGTTAACAAATAGTCCAAGTAACGTACAAGCGAGAGCTAATCTAGCACCCCATTAATATATTGTGAAGCATTTGATATACACTACCAGGCAGTTGACTCACATCAGCCAATTAAACAGAAGTTTACAAGGCATCATATAATAAATTATTAGGTTATCTGGTTACCTGAAAATTAATTTGCTATCGTTTTAATCAACCTAATAAAAAATCTTATGAAGCAAAATAAAAATGCCAAATATCAGGTAAGTACATGATTTTTGTGTCTAAAATTTCTTTAGTATCATTAGTTATCGTATTTTTTGTATTCAAATTATACTTCGTAATTATATATTTGAATAATGTGTATATCCTTTGATGTATACACATAATGAATTCATGTGTGAAAAATAACCAAAATTTTACATTCGTTTCCAGTTCGTTCCTCGTAAAGATTTTAAAATAAGACTTTACTATTAATTAGCAACCTATTGTATTAAAGTGTAAAAATGTAAAAGATCTTATATGCTTAAATAAATAGCTGTGGGATTGATGCTAGAAGACTAGCTTTTATGATACTTATAGGGACAGTTATGTTATCGAAATAATGAATCAACAAAAGACAAGATTGTCGTAGACTTCAAAATAATATTGTTAAGAAATAAACTTAAAAGGTGAATATAATATTTTTTATTTATTAATCAAATTTATCTTTAGAATCAGGTCTACTGAATAATTGATTGTGAGGGCAATTAATCGAACCCAATTAATCGATTGATGATGAAGTCAATTTTGCAGTTGTTTGAAAAATGTAATGACTTGATAAAATATGTAATAATAAATATAAGTATAAGTATATTTGACGTCAAAACTTGTATTTTTTGAATTAAATTGTACAAACCACGAGAATATTAATTTACATTCCTTTATAAAGACATGTATATAGTACAGCATTCTAAATCTTTTTTTTTAAGTCAGTTTCAATGAATGCCAAAGTTCGAAACAAATGTTACATAAATGCTTTTTTAGACCTTTAAATGACGACAGACATTAGTATAATTTATGTCCTTCAATCTAACAGCCCTGATCCAAATTAAATTTTTTATTTTGGATTCAATTGTGATGGATATAATTCTTCACCAGTTTTAATATATATGTAACATTCAAGGTCTCTGCTGTACCTTCAATCATAATTGGAAGTGTTCTTCCAGATCATAGCTGATATCAAAAAGATGCTTTTTTTAGACCTTCAAATGATGATGGGCATTAATGCAATTTACGTTCTTCAGATCACAGTCGATAATCAAAAAGTTGCTCTTTTTAGACCTCCAAATGATGATAATCATCAGCGTAATTTACATTCTTTCGACAATGCCGAAAATATCAGTGTAATTCATGTCCTACAAGCCATAGTCGATAGTGTTCTTCCAGACTATTTTATATATAGTATGCCAATTTTATATACTCAAATGCGATTTTTACAGTATACTCCACTACTTTACTAAACCATACAACACTACTATTCGTAATACTGATCATGAAGCCATGTAATATTTATAAATAATTTATAAATCACTCATCTTTGACAATCAGTAATTATCAATCCATCAACCCAATAAAAAAATCCTATGAAAAAAAAACAAAAAATGGCAAATATCAGGCAAATACGTGTCTAAAATTACTTTTTTACTATTATTAGTTATCAAATGCACATGTATATTCATTGATCTATATGTGTGATAAATTCCAATCAAACTTAAGATTTTGCAGACCAATCCCTAGTATAATCTATACACTACATGATTTCATCACTCTGTTCCTTGATTATACATATATAAATTTCTTTTGTGTTGAAATATTTATTGAAAGTAAAATTTACAAACAATCAAGATTCACTCTGGATGTTCTTGGCAAAGCTGCTTTTGGGTTTGATTTTGACATAAGTATACATATATTTTTGGCAATATTTATTTTAAGGATTTCATTATTTTTAATGAATTAATAAATTAAAACCGAACAACATTTATATAACAGCATATAATAAAGTTCAAGAAGACATTAGAAATCTATATTTTATTTTTTTCCAATACTTAATTGTATTTTATTTCTAAATAAGCAACATTTTAAAGAGTAGAGAAATTAGATAATATATTGGATAAAATTGTTGAAAAGAAATGCAAAGCCTTGGCTAATGAAAATACCTCAAAACAGGGTGATCTTTTAGAATTAATGTTAAAAGCTTGTAAAAATCTTAAGAATCGGAGATTAACAAATGTTGAATTTAGGGTATGTTTGAAAGTTTGAATAGTGAAATTAATACTTTTTTTATAATAAATATTATAATTCTTTTGTAACATAATTTGGGAGTTTTTATACTTGCGGGCATGACACAAGTGAGTACTATACTATGTAATATATATACATTATTGTATTTATATTTTTGAATGAGACTTACAGCTTATATTTTAATCAACTTATTACGAATTTAGCTGTGAATTCTTTGGCAACAGTTTTATATCTTTTCGCAGCTTATAAAGTAAGCATTCTTATTTATAACTTTTACATTTAACAGATAATTAAGACTGTTTATTTTTTGTACAGAATGTTCAGTGAAAAGTTCTGGAAGAAATCTTGAGAGTACTTGGTAATAATTTAACACCATCGATGGAGCAACAAAAATTATTAAAATATTTAGATATGATTCTTTATGAAAATCTTAGATTATCTATTATAAAATTATTACCCGATATGCAGGTCCTAACTTACTTGTTATAACAATGAGTTTTGCATGATTCTATTACATAAAGTAAATAAATAATATTGATATATTTATTTGGAAATTGGCCTTTTAATGCTTATAACCTAAACTAATTTAGCTATGCAAGTCTAGGTTGGAAACGAAGCCAATGGAGCTCAATTATTATATGAATGGAGTTCAAAAAACTAGTATCCATTGGCTTCATTCAGAGCTTCATTGAGTTCTATTGAACTCCATTGCCAACCCTGACACAAGTCATAAATTGTTATAAATTTCTTCTTAGATCATAACAATGTACTGTACATATTAATAATGATTATTTTCATACTTATTTGATTTATAGGAAATTAATCTATCTGTTTATAGTCATATTTTATCGATATAGTAAAAACCCAAAAATATTTATAATTTACAAATTTTATTTAATTATTAGTGGAATAATTATATAAATATTAATTCGTGTAGATTCTTAAAGTTATATTTTTCAAATGGATCAATTAAAAACTATGCAAACAGTACTCGTACTTACTGTGTATCCTGATAAAATAAATAAAAATTTACGAAGTATAATTCTTTATCAACTTTGTCTCAACATATTCATTCGTCTGACTCTTTGTCTACAGAACAAGCAAGTTCATCTAGTACCACTTTACCTGCATTTGAATATATTTCATCTGGCGATGAATTAGAAATTTCAACAACTCAAAATACCAAAGGAAAAAATAAATAACCACTAAATGAAGATAATGATATTGATAATAAATTATGGGCTGATTTGACTATTAAATTGTTGCTTGCTTATTTATTTGAGAATTTTTCTAATTATCATAAAAATAAAGAAAAATTCTATGCAAGTGCTGCTTTGCATATCGGTGGCAAGTCAAGTGCACAGGTCCATGGAAAACTGCAAAAATTGGTTAAAAAATATTCTGAAGAAAGTAAAGAAAAAACAGGCAAAGAAGCTTCAAAATGGCCCTATTACTTTTTAATGAATGAGATTTTTGGTAATCGTGAGAATGTTCATCCTGAATGTTTAATTGATAGTACTGGAAAAGTATTTATCTATTTATAAATAAATATATATATTTATATATAACATATATATCGTACATGCATAAATCTATATATTGAGATTTTAGTTTATTTTATTTATACATATAACAAATACATACTTATACATATATATTATATATACATATTTTTATTAAAAACTTAGCATTATGGTACTAACATTAATGATGAGAAGAAGATGGTTCAATGAAAGAAAAAAAAAATTTGAGTGAAGATGATTTATCATATATCAAGTCTGTAGAAACTATTAGTGAAAGTAAGAAAATATCAGCTGAAAGCAGAAAGAAGTGGATTGATGAACATTCTACAATTGAACGTGAAAAATTTAATTTTGAAAAAAAATTTAGAAAATTAGAATATGAACTGAAAAAAAAAGAAGTTGAAGCTCGAATTAAGGTTGAAAATGAAAAATTAGATTTAGAAAAACAAATGAAAATTAATTTTGAACTAAAATTAAAGAAATTAGAAATGAAACTAAAAGAATTAGAAATGAAACATAAGTATAGTGAGTCTAATAATAAAATTTTCTAACATATTATAGTGATTATAAATAGTGCAACAAAAAAATTTTAATTAGATCAAATTGTAATTTCAGGCATATCTATTAACTTTTTTTATATTTTATTTTTAAATCTATAGTTTTTAAAAAATAAAATTTTTCTAAAGTATAAGCTTTATTTTAAAAAACATAATACATTATTTTTGCTTGTTTTAAACACTGTTACTATTGTAAATTGGGTATGGTGTATAATAATTTAATTATCAACTGAATTTGATATACTATTTAAGGTCAGGTTAATAATAGTTGACTGGAAGTGAGTAGTTTAAGAGTAATTAGGATTGATTTAATTAAGAGTAGCTTTAATCTTAATTATGTTTTTAAGAGTAATCTAAATTGATCTAATTAATATTCTTATATGTGGTCTCTTGTAAGCATAATATATATATAATAGAAACTATATAATATATAACTTTTATTTATTCAGAAAAAGATCTATTTAGCTTTAATGCCTACTTTTTTTATGTTAAATATAAGACCTAGCATATACTTATATACAAGGACAATGTAGTATAATAGGGAAATGATACTGATTAGATAAAGTTTAGATAAATTAATATAAAGAAGTTTTAAAGATAATATAGTATTTATTTGTTTTTAAGACTTTATTCTTAACTTAATCTGTAACTGGTTCTTTTGAAAAAGTAAAAAGAGCCTATATTTATCCAATTTTATTTATGAAGGCTATACTAAATAATTATATAATAAAGGTGCTAATATCTTTATGAGCAGTCACTTACTTCTTCATGAACAGTTGTTACATCTGTTCTATGATAACATGAAGCTATACTGCTTATCTTACTAATCTATAACTTATTTGAATATATGCCTTGGCCCCAACTGCTTATTTTAATGTTTATATATATAGTTATCATAGTTCTTAAATGTAAACAAGAGCATAAGCAAAACAAATTTCAAATAAATAACTATATGCAAATATAACTGAAATAATAATAAAAAAATTATAATAATATAAATAAATAAATAATTAAGAAAAAATAAAAATAAAAAAACTTATAACTTGGGTCAGTATACCAATCTATAATTCAACAACATAATATAAATATAAAATAAAGAATTTTTTTATATATTATATAAAAATTATTTTATTTTATTTTAAGAATAGAAGGTACTATATTAAAATTATATATAAACTTAATAGTAAATTTTGTTTATATTTAATTTTATAAAAAGTAAACTAATATTAATTTATAAGAAAAGTTTGTAGAACAAGTTTTTCTGATTTTAATAATAGTAAAATTATTAAATTTGATTAAAAACTCAGTAAGATATAATTTTTTAAAGATTAGATATAAAAATTATTAATTAAATTAACTTATAGAATTATGTAAATTAACTAATTAAATTTAACAAATTTAGCAATTTTATGTTATTTCAAAATTTTATAAAATAAATAAAAATTAAATAATATAATATTACTAGATTTAAAAAAAATTTATAATAATTTTTTGTATATTTTATATTGATATATTTACTAGTTTTAATTAAAAAAAATTATATTAATAAAAAAATTAGCTTTGTTAACTAGTTTAAGCTTTTTGAATTAATTATGACTTATGATTTTTTGTATATATTACTAATATTTACTTGTATATAATATATTGTAAAAAAAAGCTATAAAAAACTTACAAACTGTATTAATAAACAAAATATATATATATATTTTTTTGGTGTTAAGATGAATAAACAAAATATTTAGACTAATTATAATTAACATTTATTAAGATAATTACTTATATGATATGTTATAAAAAAAAAGAACTTATTTATTGTATTAACAAACAAAATATTTTGATTAGTTAAAATTAATTTTTATTATGATATTTATTTGTATATATATTGTAAAAATAAAAATCTATAAAAAACTTACAAACTGTATTAACAAACATTAGTTAGAATTATATAATATTTGTTAGAGTATTTACTTATATATAATATGCTTTATAGACTGATATTCATATGATTGGCTAATGAAATCAATTGTCTGAGTAACTTATTTATATAATTTAAAGTACTTTTTAAGAATATATAGTTTAGTAAAATAGCAAACTATACTATAAAAATTATATTTGAATATATAAAATTGGCATACTATATTTATAATATATTATATACAAAATAGTCTGAAAGAACACTATTAACTACAGCTAAAATAATATAAATTATACTAATATTTTTAATCATTTAAAGGTCTAAAAAAGGTATTATTAAAAGAATATAAATTACACTAATAATTATTATTATTTAAAATTTTAAAAAAACTATCTTTTTGATTATTAGCTATATTCTAAAAAAGTATAAATTGTATTAATAATTACTATTATTTGAAAGTTTAAAAAAGCATCTTTAAATATTAGTATAATCTAAAAAAATACTATTAATTATAATTAGAAGAACATAAATTACACTAATGTTTATCACTATTTAAAAGTTTAAAAAAGCATTTATATAATATTTGTTTAAAACTTTGATATTTATTGAAACTGATTTAACAAAAAAGATTTAGAATACTGTATTATATACATATTTTTGTAAAGAAATATAAATTAATATTCTTATGATTTGTAAAATTTAATTCAAAAACTATAAGTTTTGATGTTAAATATTTTTAAATATACTTATATTTATGTTTATTATTATATATTTTATCAAGTTATTACATTTTTCAAACAACTACAAAAATTGCAATTAATAAGCACTTTGTAACTTTATACTAATTAATTAATTTGGTTCAAATAATTGCAATTAATTGTTTTTATAATTAATTATTTAGTAAATCTGTTAATTCTTAATTAATATGTATTATTTTTAAATCTTTATTAATTAAAGAATAACTTAAATAGATTTTTAGTTACTATTACTAAATTAATTATATTACAGTATTACAATAAATTAATAATAATAATAATATAAATAAAATAATAATAATAATTCAATTTTTAATTTAAAGAAATAAATAAATTTTTACAACTTTTTTTTTAATAATATATAACTTTCTAAATTATAAGTCTCTTGATCAAATTTTATAAACCTATATTAGCCAAAAAAATAAACATAGTTTAATAAATAAAAAAATTTTATTATAAAAGTTTAAATATATTAAAAAAAAATTAAATTTTTTATATAATCTGAATTTTAAAATTGTTTATATTAATATAACTAAAAAGTTTTATTTAATTAGTCTAATTAAATTTTTTTATAAAATAATTTATATTGCATATTAAGTAACTAAATGTGCAATTAAAATAAAATTTATATTAAATATTGTTATATTAGTTAAAGATACAAATTACAAATATCAATTTGTTTAATAGTTTTTAAAGCTATATACAGATAAAAAATTAAGTTTTTTCTAGTAAATATTGTAATTTATAAATAAATTATTGTAATTTAATTTTAATTTAATAAATTAGTAACTTTTTAGATAAAATAATCTTTTTTTTATATTTCAAGAAAAGAAATTTAAAAAAATTTATTTAATTATTGTTATTATACAAAAAACTAATTATAATACTAAAGTTTTTTTTATATTTAAAGAAATAAATTTACTATATACAAAAATATATGAATATATTTTATATAATCTATATAATAATAATTTTTTTTATAAATTTTTAATATAAAATTTATATAATTAAAAATATATAATTAAATTTATAATATTAATGTTTACTAATTTTATTAATTATAAAGTAATATATATTATTTTTAAAAAATTGTTATTACTATTTTTTATTTTTGTTAATGTTATCTTTTTTCTTAATTTAATTAGTCTTTAATATTCCTAACTCTAATTATTAATTAAACTATATAAAAAGTAGTATTAACAAAAATAAAAGATATCAATAATAATACTCTATATTTAAAGTTATAATTAATTTATATTAATTTGAAATAGTATAAATTAAAAAATAAAAAAGAACAAATATTAAAAAAATAAAATTTTAGATTTCTATTCTATTGACTTAGCTAGGATACAAAAATTTAAATATAAAAAATTATAAAACTAATTCTAATAAATTTTGTCATTTTATTTTTGCATATTCTTTTTTAAATAAATTTGTTTCATTTATATCTAAAATTTGATCAACTAATTCAGAATCTTCTTCAGGTTGAATTTCAATTCTATCACTATTATAACCTATTTGTCCCCATATATCTCCATTTTTTTCTATAAAATTATGAATAATCAATGCTGTTTCAATAATTTCTACTCCTTTGGGTGGATCTCTAATTTTCATTACTCTTAAAAATAAAAATCTTGCTTTTAAACATCCAAATGCTTGTTCAACTACAACTTTAGTTTTACTATGTTTAATATTATAATTTATTTGTTGATGTTTTTGAAGTCCATTTGGAGCTTTAAATGGTGTCATAACAAAAGTAAGCAAAGGATATGCTGAATATCCTAAAAGGTATTCTTCTCCTTCAAAAAAAATAGATGATTGTTTATAAATATTTGAATTTTGAAATACTTTTGCATCATATACAGAAGCAGGTCATCCAATATCATAATTAATAAAAAGACCTTTATGATCAACTATTCCTTGAAGATGAATTCCATATTGATGTTTTCTAGAAAATATACATCTTTATTAATTCTATCAGGTGCTTGTAAGAAAGGTATATGTGAACCATCAATTGCTCCAATAACTAAAGGAAATTCTTGAATTTGATGAAATCCTTTATGAACTTCTTTTTTATAATCTCCTTGTGGCCATTTAATATATTCTGATCTTAATGATCTTATAGCAGTAATTACTCTATCCATAAATAAATGTACAGTACCTTCAGCAATACCAAATTGAGTAGAAATAGCCCAAATAGTTGATAAAGATCCTAAATGAAATAATGTAACTGCAAGTTGAATATGAACACCTGTTTGTATATTATTTGCATTAGAATAAAAAACAGAATGATTTTGAATTTGATTTACTAATGCAAAAAAAACAGATTTATTTATTCTTAAAGTTCTTCTAAATCTAGTTTCATCCAAATTAAATAATACATTTCTAACCCAATCATCTGATTTTGGATGAACATGATGAGAAATTTCAGGTTTTAAAGTTTTAGAATAAAAAGAAAGAACTTGAACAAGTTCTAAATCATTATTACTTGATTCATCATTTAAATCTACATCTATATTGTCATTATTATCATCACTACTAGATTCTACAATTTCAGCAAAAAATTGATTATGTTGAGAATCGGATGTCATTAAGTATAATTTATTTATAAAAAATTGTGAATAATTAAAACTTTAAAGATTTATTAATAAGTTTAAAAAAATGAAGACGTTTATAAAATTTTTTATTAGTATATATATACACGCGTATATGAGCATCGCTCATAAATCTAATTTCCAATTTTCTCTTGCATATAGTATATACGTATGTATATGTATGCAGATAATTTATATCATATACAAATTAGGTCTATTTTACGAATAATTTGTAATTTCATTACATACGTACTGTACGTACATCATTATTGTGATTGTATGATATTATTAAACAAAATATTCTTTGGTACACAATGCTGCAAGATACGTATATTATTACTAACCTAACAAAAATTTTAAAGAATTCATATACATATAAGTCATGAATTTAAATTGGATTGCTCCAAAATAATGATAATTCTTTGTATATATATGCTACAATAAATAATTCTTAAGGTATTTATATATTTTACGCAAGCTTTGTATGCTAAGATAACAAAAAATCTGCTATTAAATCTGAAAAAGGACATCAATTAATTTATTTTTTTTACAATGAATATTACACACATTTTTTTCATTATTGATTAAATACCCTAAATTAAATCATATACTACATAAATATATTCGATTACAGATTTATAAATGCCAGAAATGGGTAGGGCAGAGTGAAACATGATTTTTGTGGTAAACTTCGCTTTGGATACTTTACATGAGGTACTTCACAATAATGCTACTATAACATTCATAAATATTTGTAATAATAGGTTTGAAATGAGTGTCCTTTTTAACTCCAATTCTATAATATCTAATGCTTATATGTTTCAACAGCGTCATCATCTCTGTAGATTTTCGTTAATAGTATCCAACCTGAAATGTTCCAGTAACGTTATCATCTCCACGGATTTTGATTTGACTTATGTTCACCGATAATAATATCAATTTGGAATGTTCCATCAGAGTAACCTATCTCTGCAGATTTTTGATAAGAAATAAATACCTTACGTTCATATTTTTCAACACCAATTCTATAACAATGTCTAATCTTTATATATTCTGATAACTCACCATCTTTGTAGATTTTTAATAAGAAATGAATGCCTTATGTCCAATTCCATTCCGGCAATGGTATCCAACCTGGAACGTTCCAGTAACATCACCCATCTCTACAGATCTTTGATATTACTTATGTTCATTCTTTTCAACTCTAATTCCATTTCGATGATAATATCCGTTTTGGAATGTTCCATCAGAGTAACTTATCTCTTTAGATTTTCGATAAGAAATGAATTTCTTATGTTCATCTTTTTCAAAACCAATTCCATAACGATATTTAATGTTTATATTTCTAAAAGCATCATCATCCCTGTAGATTTTTGGTAAGAAATAAATGCCTATGCTATTTCAAAACAGAATGTTGTTCATTAGAATTGCCACCTTCAGCAGATTTCAAATACTACTCAAATGCCCTATGTTCATCATTGGCTATGCCAATATCTTCGTTATAGCCTTAAGTTTATCCTTTTCAGCACCTATTCCATTCCGATAATGATGTCCTAAGATACAAGTTGAAGTTAACATTTTAGTATCAACAAAATTTCAAAGACAACGAAAAGAATGCCTTCATTATAAATTACATTGCTTTTCTATCTTGGCAGATCTCTATAATCATCATAGCCTGAAAGATAGAATACATCGAACCTCTATTACAAATATAAACATAAGAAATCAGATATTTATAGCTTTTAAATAATCACTGAAATTTTAAGTAGAAGACCATCCTTTCAAACCTTCAAACTTAGAGATTCATATATATACCAGAAATAGTTCCAAAGCACCAGATGAAGCGATAGAATCCATCCTCATATTTCAAAGCATTCTACAATTTAGTTATCGAAAGATTCCATTTGATAACTATACAATCATAATCGATATGAGCTTTTTTGTGAAGTTCTTCAACTCTGGTGTGTAATGAAATAATTCTTTCTCTGAATTAAACGATAAAATTGAGAATTATAACTAAGTTTACAAACTATTGAAAATGTATTAACAGATTATCAAGGTTATAGGTCGCTAAGAGGGATTTATAATAATACCTCATAAATATATTTTATTACTAGTTTTTTGACGAAATGCAAAAAACTATTGATCTAACGAAGATTAATTGGCTTCGGATTTACAGTATTTCTTTTAGTGACCTAATGTAAAATTAAACTTATTGCTGCGAAATAGAACTACTCAAAACCGTTATCTGTATTACATTATTACGATAATGTGATAAAAGGCAAATCACATATTCGTTCTATTTTTAAAGATCTGCATATACCCGTGACCATGGTCTAGCCGTAAGAAGTAACACCCCTAAATCGCAAATCAGCTATGAATAGGGCCATTACCTAATCTAATCGACAACGATCAGAATCATGTGACTTTGAAAGAAAAATTACGTATTATAATTGGGTTAGGAGATTTAACTTTTTTGCTAGATGATTTATGACGCGTAAAAATTTTCTTCGTACGTTATAAAAATGTACCTTTTACCTAATTGTATCGACGATTTGAAATACAGTGGTAAGAAATCTGTACTATTATCTCTTTATGACAATGCTTTACAGCGTAACATGTTGTTTGTAAAAATATAGACTTTTGGAAGAACACGGAGGAGCCTTCGCTTAATAAATTCTTGAGTTTCCGATTACACCAAAATAATTTGGAAGAAAGCGAAGTGGAGCATCGTCGGTATAAAGATGAACTGAAGAGTATTAGTAATTACTATGATGAAGAATCTGAAATTGGGAAGAAGGTGTTGATATGGAAACAAAAGTTCAAGGCAAGTATAAATTTATTTGTTGATTTGACACTATGCCATCGCCAACTACCATTGTTGGTTGCTTACTGGCAGGGGAAAGGTTGCTTACTTGTTGGTGTGTTAGTGTATAGTGTATTCGTACTGTGTTGTCATAAACTACCATGCTGGTTGCTTACTGGTAGTGGGAAAGGTTGCTAACTTGTTTGTAGTTAAATTTATGTTATTTCTTACATGCAAGTTAGGATAAAATTAATAAATCATTATTCTTTTCTTTCTCCTCTTAAAAATGAATATTTATAAGCGCGATAAAAACTCGGCAGAGGTAAAACTTTTCTGGGAATTACAAGTGAAAAAACAAGATATTCTTAAGGAGATCAGATTGCTTGAGGAGAGATGCAAGTTACTTGAAAAGGAGCAAGTATGTTGTCTTTATGATGTTTTCGAAGTTTAGGTGATCTCGTTTATGACAATACTTCCTAATGTCTGCAAATAGACCGAAATGGAGAACAAAATGTGTCTTGAACAGACCCAACATATTTTGCATGCGACGAGAGAGACCGTAGATCAAGGCCTTTCACTACAAAGATCAATTGTAGAAAAATTGAAGAAACGTGTGCTGGATGAGCCGTATGCATCTTGCGAACCACCAAAAAGGAGGTCCAAAGTCACTAATAGTGATATAATCGCAGAATCTCATTCTGAATCTAATGCAGAGACCGACATAACCGAAGATAGTGATATAATCGCAGGATCTCATTCTGAATCTAATGCAAAGACCAACATAACTGAAGATAGTGAAATAATTGCGGGATCTCATTCTGAATCTAATGAAGAGACCGATACAGAAGTGATTAACATAACTGAAGATAATGCAGAAATCGAGAGTCTCACACAGGTATTTGGCATTCGCTATCTTTTACATACGATAATTTTCTTTACTCATACTTTGATCTCTAGAATGAGAGGGATATTCGCAAAAAATTACTTGAAGTTTTGGACACAATCCAAGACAAAGAAAGAAAATCTAAAGAGGACCATATGTCATCGGTATACCTAAATAATATATTGGATTTGTCCGATTTAGAAACACGCAGAAGAGTTGAAAATTCTTTAAATGATCAACACGCATGGCTTAATACGATTCTTAAAAAACAAACTTCAGATCAAACTGAAGCATTTAAACAATATGTTGGACAGTTTAATGAACGTGTATGTAATAGGAAACAAATCCCAACTTTGGTTCGTAAATCTTTTATTTTAGATAGATTCGATTCCTATTATTATGAGGACTACGATATTGCTCACCAAATACTCGAACACTGGTAATTCATATGCATGTTAATATTCGTTTTAGCCAATTTTACATTTTTATTAACCTTTCTGTAAATAGTGCCACACGATTAGAAGCTCATATTAGCTATGAATCAAAAAGTTTTAATTTAGAACGAACATTCGCGATAGACACTGTAATCTATATCTTAAATCGTTTATTCAAGTTTCATCAAGATGTTTTAGACAGTGGGTGGTAAGTATCAATTATAAATTTTAAAGTGTTAGGGGTAGCTTATCAGTTAATTATTTTTTTTGCTTAGGATTGAATTGACTACTCCCCACACAAAAAAACATAAATTTGATGGATTATTTAAAGTAATAAGAACAAACCTGAAGAATCAAGTCATAATTGTCGTTGAATTTTCAAGTGGCAGAAAAGCGTCATTAACTAAAGAACATAATGACCATGTTAAATTATGTCGAAATGCGATGAGGACTTTAAATGCCGTATTACAAACCATACCTAGGGAGAAGGCGCGAATTTACTTGGTACAATTTGTTAGTAAGTATTTGATTAAAGGTTGAATATAAGAAAGCGCAAATTATTTACGTATCTAAAAATATTATTTTTAGACAGCTATCTCAAAATTGAATATATGATCCGTCCCTTACCATCAGTCTATCTTCTTAACTGTTTTATGTGCACCAAAGTGCCCGAGACCTTTGATGATTTCGAAAAATTTTCTAAAGATATGGCTGAACTAATTAATTGGCAGGTATGAACTTATAAATTATTTGGGCTTCCCTTTTATGGTAGCTAATTTTAATTAATATAGGCGGATGTCTTATTCACGACCAAGGAAATCAACAAAATTCCTTACAAAGCTGGAAACAATAATGTCTGCACAACTCCATTAGAAGATACACCGAAAAAGGATAAAAAAGTCATAAAGGCCAACGATTCATATCCAGGATCACCATGTCCAGGATCACCGAGCTCGCCATTGATATAAAGATATTTCATTTAGCTTTTATCAGAGTATCCATTGCATGGTATGGAGGGAATATACAGTATAACTGTGAATTTTTATGTATTAACTTTGTATCTTTGCGAACTTGATGTTTGTAATGCGGAAACAAATTTTTTTATATAATACATAATGTGTATTCGTCTGTCTTGTCTAACACATCTATCACGGCTTATGCTGTAATGCTGTAAATTTTTTTTTAAGTTACGGCGCTTTAATTAATTTTGACATATGCCGTAATTATGCTCAATATTATATGTTATCCTGCGATATATCAATTTTTAAATTCCGAAATATCATCATATTAACTATTATGGATTGAGTAAATTATTCAAACAATACTTACATCTGGAATCTTATCAAAGCCTTCATAAGCTTCTCGAAGAATAGTACAAGACTTGGCGGAGCGACACAAAGCCTTCTCATAAACTAACTTATATCTTTGGAATGTATCGCTCATACATCCATGTCCCACAATTTACGTTAATTGTGTATCCGAACCACGAAGCCAAACGTGCTTTTCTAACTTCATTACAATTATTCTCCAAATACTCCATTGTTATATGAAGTTATTGGATAGATTGTTTAGCTCGAAAAAAAAAGAATTAGAAAATGTGTAAAGAAATCACTAAAAGCGACAAATAACAACAAATTCGAGATACTGCCCTTTTATATATTTTTCTTATCTCTTCCCTGAAACTCGAAATGTTAGATAGGTTAGACAGAAATAAAAACATGCACTCTTACATCGAAAATTTCTACGATAGAAGTTGAGACATGCAAAGAAATTTCTGAAAAGCACGGCAAAGAATTTTTGTATAGATTATAAATATATGCATCACGAGTTAAAGAGTCATGTAAGGTTAAAATCGTTAAAAAATAAGACTCGATACTCCGTCGTACATGCATACATTGTGCGCATTTAGACCAGATAAGGTTTCGGTCCGGAGTGAATTCTCCACAAAATGAAGAATAAATGTGGGATGTGAGATGTGGCATGAGTTAATTGACCGACTTTGGTTAGGGACAAATGCTGAAATGGCAGTTTCTAATTGTGCCCCGTCTCACAAATAAGTTATGCATAACGATAAGCCTTGTAAGGTGATACAGATAAATTTTATATGCAGAATTATTACGCTAACGAACGTGGACAAATAATGTATAACTATAACGATAAATTTAAACTACGTATCACCAAACACTAATTCAGATTTATTTATTCGAGATTCCCTTAGAAAATTATTACATTCACATCGCCTATATAATCCATCCGCTACTTTTTTGCATGTTTTACAATACAGATGTGAATGGTGATTGTATTCGTCACAGACCTTACATCCATGCTTCCAACCTCTAAAGATGTGCCACTTTTCGAAGCAATTTTGTTTATCTTTACATATGAGTATGCTATTCTGACCTTACATTGTTATATATTGACAGAAAAAATAATCTATACGTGGTTAAAAAAATATTAATATAAAAATATATCTCTCAATTGTGATCTCAAGAATAGCATTAGGAAAATGGTGGACAATTTAAGTCGCACATTCATGAGGGCCCAGCGAAAATTCTCTAAACAAATGCTCACTACCTGACCTTCCTTCTGGTATTTATTTCTGAATTTCAGCTAACATTGCATCAATTTCAGCTAAAATTGAATTCATTTCTATTGTTTGAGATGATAAAGAAGCCTGTATTTGAGGTTTTGAACTGTTGCTTGTCTTTGGTTCGAAGTCAGACTTTTCTGATTCTGTATCGCCTATAGCGTAATTATCACTTGCATCAAGGTGGTCTGATTCTTGTCTCATTGCGATTCTCGAAAACAGTTTAAGATATTGGGGTGTTGGTTTCTTACCACCATGGATTCTGGAAGCGTGTTTACTTCTATAATCTCTTAATTTTTTAGGTATGGTTCTATAAGATTTTTGTTTTAAGAACTCATTAAATGGTCAAGCATTACATGTTCCTTTTCCAGTAAAGACAGAGTCAGATAACTTTTTAACCTTAATTGTATCTTGAATCCAAGTAAGCAATTTTCTGGCACATTCTGGGTTCTTCTTCATAGAAAGAAATGGTCGGAGCTTAGGATTTTTTTTCTTCTCTCCTCTACTTTTTAAATAACCTGTACAATACCAAGAATAGCCATCTTTGTACCATGCTATAATGTTTGAATGATCTGGTTCATAGTGATTAATTTGAAGAGATCTTACTTCTGCAGGTCTCATACTCAACATTACAATTATGTCTACGAGATCCTCTCTAGTAGGAATTTTGAAAACATCTATGTTCTGAATCCTTTTACTCACATTTGCTAAGGAGAAATGTATGAGAATTCTATCCAGATTAGCCATTCGTTTCATAGTTTGCTTTTTTGAATTTTATTTGACTCTTGAATAAGTTTTGGATCTTTGGCATAGGTATTAATAATTTTAGGACTTATCCCAGCTTCTGCTAACTTCACACAAAATTGTGATTGCTGTGAACCACTGGTGACTATTTCATTTTCATAATCATTCTTTGGGCCTAAATCTAAATGATGGGTGAAAATATCCATAATATCACCAATTTTAGCGCAATATTTTGTCCTTTCCTTTATAGTGAGTTTTCTCTTTCTCTTATCCGGTAAGAGAGCCTCTACCTGCTCTCCACTAAATAAGCATCTGTTACCAGTACCTCTGGCAAAAGTGACTTTAACACATCTGCAGGTCATCCAATTGAGAAATAGAGCATCAAGTTTGGGAGCATGTTTGCTTAATTGTTTTGAAGTAAAGTATGCCATTAAATTATACTTTTCTAGAAACTGTTCTAAGACCAATACAAAGTTATTAACTTTAGGTTTTTGGGTCTTTGGGGTAACTGTTTTCGTAGCCATGTCAATAGTAAGTGTTATCTAGTTATATATTAATCTAGTTATTTTTTAATTCGAAATTAATTATGCTTTTTCCTCCTATACCCAGAAAAAAGAGTTTATGTACTTGCATAAGCAAGACCAGGATGTCGAGCTATATGATTATACTTCATGTATAGAATCAGGTAAGTCAGGTATATGATTCTTAAGCATAACAATTTTTGCATGTAATTCAGTCTGTTTTTTTTGATGATAATATTCTCTTTTTCGATATTTACTTACATGATTCGAGCATATACCATATGTAGAATATGTTAATTTATTGCATTCTTTGCAAGGAATCCAAGTTGGCAAATTCCAATGAAGTTTACACCCTTCTGGATGATAGCAACCTCGATTGCAAACTTTACCAGTTCTAAAAATATAAGGGCAATGATAGAGTCCCATATTTATTATAATAATAATTGTATAGAATAATTAATTTCATTTTAAAGTTTTTTGGGTTAAATATAATACTTTTAGTTTATAACTATATACTACATATACAATAACACATATATACAAATTAATAAAATGAGTTTGTCTAGTGAAGCAAAAAAATGTCTTCGTGAATCATTATAGCAACAGTGCTTAAATCAAAAGTCAGCTGAATATAATGAAGCAAAATGGCTTTTTATAGGTTTAACAGATCTTGATTATAAACCTGGTCATAAAGAACATACATTTTATAAATACTGGCTTGCATCCAGGCCTGAAGGGGCGACCCTAAAGGGTCATGGCCATACTGATAAAAATGATATTGCACTTTTAGATGCATATCGACCTGAGGAGATTCATTCTCAATATATAATTCAGATGGCAGAAAAAGGTTATACAACAATCGATCATCCTAGCGAAGTTTATAGAATACCTAATACTCATAAATGTATTGATGGGAACCAGCCTCTCTGCTTAATTATCGATATTGTTGCAAAGCAAAAGCCTGATCCTACTAATTCTAAACTTCCTTCTCTAGATGGTCAAAAAATTACTCGAGAAGATTTGTTATCTCGAATTTTAGTTGCTTGTGCAGATGCATTAAGCCTTATTCCAGAATATATGACTTTCTTAAATTCTTTTGCTTTAGCAAGTTCATCAAATACTGAGAAATGTAGTTGGCATATCATTTATTCTCAGGCCTAATTCGTAGATTATAGAGAACTCAATGGTTTTACAGAAAAAGTTATAGAATTAGTTGGAGAACCTTATGCCAAATTCATTAATGTTGGCCTTCCCAAATCACGTTTTAGTCTTCGACTTCTTGGATCAGCAAAAGAGAGACATATAAAAAGACCTGCTATCTCTTTCGTAAATAAGGGATTCAAAAATTTAGATGATTACCTGGTTCAGCCTAAAGAAAATTATTCTGTAATCTGGCCATGAACCTTTTCAGATGAGAGGCCAGCAGAAGAGGAATACCAACCTATCGACGATAATAATGCCTTGGTTAAGGGAGCCAATTTAGTTATTGCAAATTACGGGTGGCTTCAGATTGGAAAAATCGAGAAAGGATTTATCAACTTTCAAGCACAATGCATTAAAGAATGCCCTATATGTGACGTTAAGCATGAAAAAGATCAACTCTATGGATTTATTCGACAAAATGGGCATTTCATACTTAAATGTTATTACCAAAAACAATATAAGCCAGATTATAAAGGATTAAGCTTTGACAAGGTATCAGATAAAGTAGAATCGAAAGTGAAACCTAAATTAGAATTAGATAAACGAATAGCCAAAGCTGTGTCAAATCCTTATTTGCTTCCTGAATTATCTGGAGAAGTTATTAATATAAAGGAAATAGAAGATTTTCCAAAAGCTTATCACAATTTCTTGAGCAAAGAAACCAGTACAACTTTGATTCACTCTCTTATAATGACAAGAAAAACAAAAGGTCTAAGAAAATATCTCAATTATTTAGCTAAAAATAAAGCTAATATGCCTTGCGTCATCTGGATTTCTTACTGAAAAACTCTTAGTAATGAATCAATAGGTAAAATTAATGATCTTAAATTATCTGGACTCAGAATCTGTAATTATCAAGATGAACAGAGCTTGTCTATAGATAAGTGGGATATTATCATAGTTCAAGTTGAAAGTCTTTCTCATATAGAATTCTCAGCCCATCCAATTGTAGCTATTTTAGATGAAGTCAATGCAATTCAATATCAAATGAATAGCGGTTCAAATGTGTGAGAATCTGAAAATGCAATATGTGATGTGTTAAAATCAGCCCAACATGTTTTAGCTATGGATGCATTTGCAAATAAAAGTACACTAACATTTCTCAAGGCTTATCGTGGTGAAAATATTCGAGTAATTGATAATAAATTCCAACTGCTTATAGGTAAGACTGTTAAGTATCTTTATGACCCAAATAGTGGGGCTGAAGCTATGCGAATAGGGTTTGAGTATTTGAAGCATGGTAAACACGTGGCATTTGTTGTAACAAGTTCTAATATAGCTCGAGCATTAGTAAAAGAAGCTTCTAAATTATCTTTCAAAGCTCATGCCTATTATGAAGCATGGATGAAAAATAATGAAAAAAAGACTTTTTAGATATTAATACTGCTTGGGGCAAACTTAATTGTGTGGCTTATACAAATACAGTAGAAGCAGGTATTTCTTTTGAGAAACCTAATCACTTTGACATAGTTATAGGCATTACAAATATTGGAACTCCAGTTAATGTAGAAGCATTTATCCAAATGATGTTCCGAATTCGTGATTGTGAAAAGTGTATACTTTTACTTTATTATCAAAAAATTTCCAGTGAATTTTCTCATTCACCAGGTCATGAAAATATTCAGGCAGAACTTGCAGTTGACCAGCCTAATGATTTGCCTATAGCAATTAAGGGACATTGTGAATAGGATATAAATAGCATTTTCTATAAACCTGATCAATCTTCTGCTGTAACATCATTTATTGAAGTTGAGTACCAGAAATGTCTTTCAACCAGAAATTTTATCAAGATTTCATATAGCCTTATTGCCAGTACTGGAGTAAGTCTTAAATTAATAAAAATGGATGAAAATAAAGAAATTATAGGGAATCGTAAAAAAGTTTGTAATGAGATTAAGGATAAAGCTTTAGTTATCAAGAATACAGATTTTGATGCAGTCGCCACTTCTCGAAATCTTACTCTTGAGGAAGCCGAATTTCTTAAACTAGATTCAGAACATTCAGTTGCAGATACTATAGCACTTAAGCATTTTTATATGTGGAACCTTTATGGTAGAAATAGTATGAGCATCAAGGATTGGAATAAACTCTGCGATAAAGATTTTGTAGAACGTTTTAGTTCACCCGAACCTAGAAAATATTTCTTGCATCTATCTTATTTTTACAAGCAAGGTTATAATGAAGAGAGTGCAATAGAAGAATTAAAGGCCAAAGACATCGCACAATAGGAAGATACCTGTTATAATGCTAAAGATAATTTTGAGGATTTAGTAGCAAAAGATTTATGCAAAACATATTCAGTGAATCATTAGGAAGCTGTACGAGGTCTTTTATAGTCACTTGGTTTTACAGGTATAGATGATAAACGCATTCTCTCTGATGATCAGGTAAAAGTTGCGTTTGAGGCATCTTATGAAAAATTTATAGAAATTCGAAGTCAAGCCTTATTGATCTTTGGCTTTAGGTCTTGTGCAAAAGAAATATTAGATCTTAAATCAGCTATAAAGGCAATCAATGCAATTGTTGGTAATTGGTATAGTTATATCATAAAAAGTGAGTGAAAATTGGTAGGATCTAAAGGACAACAGATTTAGAAATATTCATATCAAATTAATTGAAAGTCATATAATGGTTGTGGTTTTAATAATCAAGAAGAAGTAATAGCTAGAAAGTTAGATAATCCTGAATATTGCCCTATAGCTCCAGTTCTTCCATTATATAAGCTGAAGGTAAGTAATGAGATTTAGGATCTTTTTGAATATGTTGAGCATAAAATTTCTGACTCGTCTAGTAGGATGATTGATAAAAAAGGTTTATCTTTAGAAATGCCAGCTCATAATCAATCTTCTGGTCCTTCCCAAAATAGAATCCATATTGATACTACTATTAGTAAAGCCAGGACAGTTGAGAAAAAAATATCCGAATCCTTAACTCCTCTATCTTCAGAATTTCTTATTAAAAATGAATCATATATAGACATCCTTATCCTTCTTTTACAGCAAAAATTCCAAATGCCTGAAAAAGGGTTAGAATAATGGCGAACCAAAATTACTTTTGAATTGTGGGATAATCAAAATTACTGAAAAAAAGAGCATGAGAGTATGAGTGAGACTGACTTCTTAAAATATAAGCGAAATTTTGAGACTAATATGGGTGTACCTACTACTCTGCAAAAAAAGAATTGAAAAATAAATCTTTGGCACTCATTGAATATGCATAACTATTGTTTTAAGATAATATCATCTAGTTTTAGTAGTAATTTCTGAAGCAGAGAGATTGCTACATTTAACTAGTTATTCATCTCAGGTAGGAGGTTTTTTGTCCTCTCTTACAATAAGTATGAGAAAAAATTCAAATAAAAAATTAATGCTTTTAATATCTAGATTATATAAAGGGTTTTTGTGTTGTGTGATTTTGGATGATAGGATTTAGATGACCAAACACTTATCAAAGTGGGTTTTTGGGTCGTGAAAAGTAGTCATTACCTGGAGCTAGTGTCAGCTGGAAGCTGGTTCACACCAAAACGCATAGTACCATTAAACAGATATTGAAAAAGTAATATGCAAAGATAAAAAAAATCGAACTTTTATGTATCAAAAAAGATGATATATAAAGGTAAAAAAAAAATTGAGCTTTTACATACCATTAGGTGGATATCAAAAAAGTAATATGCAAAGGTTAGCAAAAAAGTGATATGCAAAGGTTAGCAAAAAGTGATATACAAAAGTTAGTGAAAAAGTGATATGCAAAAGAATACATAGAAGTATGACTTGATTTTTTTTAGTATCTTATACTAACTC